CAGGATGTGGAAATTGCCAGGGTTTCTCTACTATGTCTTACAGTCCCATCCTTTCTATTCACTGCTTTTCCCAGAGGTTTGACATCTCTTGTGCTGAGTCCATACAGTTGAGCAGAGTGCCTGACATCTAGTAGGCATTTAACAAGTTTTTTAAAAATGTATTAAATGACTAAACGATAGACTTCTGCCTTGTAAGGGAGGATGAAAGATTCTGTCCGAATCTGAAATTCTTCTTTTAGAAGAGCCCCAAAGGGCTATGGCAGCAATGCTGACCTTCATACATAGGGAGAAGTTACAACCACATTTTCCCGGTACAGGGATGGTGAAGTTGCTGAGTCGGGGATGGAGGGTTTGGGGTGAAAGTCTCGCTCTTTCTCCTCAACCTACTGAGAACCCCTGTTGCAGTGAGTCACTGTACTGATGAGGCTGGCACCTCTCTCACATGGGACAGTTGTCAGGAATCCCTGCCGTAGTGAGCCTTCAGGCTTTCCTGTGCGTCAAGAGAATGCCACCCATCTCACTCCCCTCACCCCATTTGTATTCAGTGGTCAAGGTCCCTGAAGCAATCAGCATCTTCTCCATTCCTGTCTTACTTACTCACCTAGGAGCCTATCCTTCCACACCACACAGACCTCCTGGCTCCTCTCTGGGCACCTTCCCTTAAGCTGTATGACCTCAGGCAACTTACTTAACTTTTCTTAACCAGACATCTTCAACTGCACAAAAGAGTTAAAACTACCAGGGTTTACACAGTACCTTACGCAGAGGAAGCAGCCAGTAAATGATAACGATTACTATTATTACTTATTCTTTGGTCTGACCTTGTCTTCCACCTCCTAAACCCATGCCAGCTTCCTACCAAATCAGAAGGTCCATAACTCTACCTCCTGCTGTTTGGGCTGGTGGAGTCGCCTGATGGCTTTTCTTTCTGCAGATCCTAAACCCTGATCAGCCTTGTTTCCTAGCCCCAAGAATGTTCACTTCCATATGCTCCCCAGCTGGCTACCAGCTCAATCTCCTAAAGGTTAAACTTGTGTTCTGGGCCATTCTTTTCAAGCATTACCTTTCTTTTAAAAAATGCAATACATTAACGGTTAGAATATCAAAGCAACTACACACGCACATGCACACATGCAAACACATGCACGCCCACCCACCTCCATACATTTCCATGTGAAAAGCCACCTAACTCATTAGTCTGTGTTTCACAATTTCCCAATAAACTTTTATGTTTTCTTGCCACAGAGACTTCTATAATTGAACAGTCAATGCCATTACTGAACTTTGTAACAATTCAACTCAGCCAAACTCATCGGTGGTAGCTGGCTTCTAGAAAAGACTTTCAATATCTTTGGGCCATTGCCTTCTGCACCTCCTTACTCCTCCGCACCCCTGGGCCCCACCGCAAGCACATCTGTGCCTGTTTCACTGGCCTTCCACACACTGGGACCAAATACATGCCAAGGACTAAAAGCAACAAATCCACAGTTTTTCAGAGTACTCTGACCTGCTTCGTGGTTCTGCTATTCCAAGCTGGGCCAACCTCCATCTAGAACCAATCAAAAAACCCAGGCGTTCCAGTCAACACAGACGCACTTGCCTTTCAGCTCATTGCCAAACATATGTGCCTTTTGAGAAGTCCATTCACCACTGTAACTAGAGAAGGTGTGTGTAAGGAGTTAGGGTCTCCTTAGATTTGGGGGTAGCAACTTTGAGGAAAAGGGTCAGGCTGAAGAAGGTTCCAGTGAGAGAATCTGTCTTCAATAGCTATGGCAATTCCTGGGTTTGTGGAGCTGAGTGTGGTCAAGGCCCTCTGCCAGGGTTGTGGGGGGTGGGCTGGGTGGGTGAGTACTGCAGACAGTTGTCTGTTCTCCAGGCTTCAGAGTACCCTCACTGAGGCTAAGCAGAGCTGGATCTCTGTGAGGCGAAGCCTGGCCTAACTGAGGACCTGGCATTAGCTTTGCACACCTAGGGCCGTCAGAGCTTGAAGCCTGGGCATCGCATCTTCCCGTTGAAGCCAGACAAATCTCCAGGTAGCCATAAACTGACTGCACAGATTTCATTCTTGAACACATGTTCAAAGGTGATAAAATAAATGCAGATGGTTTCTCTAAGCCTTGGTGGAGGGTTTTACATTGAGTAAATGAACTAAAAGCACACATAAACATACACACACGCGGGAAAGGGACCGACAAAGAAATCCTCAAAAACACTAAACCCTAAAACACCAACCTGGAGAAAGCATTGTTTGAATGCAATGAGAGAGAGGAAGGGAGGGAAGGAAGGAGAGGAGGCGGGGGTGGAGGCGGGGGAGAGAATGAGAACAAGAACA